GAAAATAAGAACAGGTTAATGCCCAGCATAAACCTAACCATATCGAATAAGGTTTAGTTCCATCTTTCAGACAAATAATTAGGAGTGATAAATTAGTAGATGTCAAAGTACTAACAATTCTATTTTGTTCATAAATCTCTTAAATTCCTCAAATTAGGAACTTGCCATCTGGATCAAATCAGATGATTTTGATACTTTTATCAAACTCCTCTTTAACTTCAATAACATTCTAATTTATGATGCAATCACATAAATATATCAATATATAAATACATCATATATGAATGCTATAAAATAAGAATATTTAACTATTGCTTTAACATTTAAAGGATCATATACATCTGAATGTATGAAGTCAAGAGTACGCAAGAGCTTTAGCACTATTTTAGAAAAATAGTTTGGTCATATGTCTCTTAGAAAATATTTACAAGTTGAGAAATATTCTAATTTAGAAAAATCAAAGGACTATCCTTTATCAATTTATTGATCTTATCAACATTAACATGACCTTGTATTTTTGTGCCAAAGATAAGTTGGATTACCTTGATCCAATCTATATTTTAAGAGATTTATCAATTCCAATAACATTACATTACATAAGAGTTAAGGGTGGCAATCATGAAAATAAACAGTTTTAATTTCATAATTATCAACAAAGCAATTTCTAAACTTTTAATAGAAATTCTATTTTACAAGAAAATAGAAAATCACTACTATAAAATTTAAAAAATGGAAATAAAATTTCTTCTAACTTTAAGACAATCTTTAAGTTTCATTTCATGCCCTTCACTCAAAACAGAAACAAATTTCTTATTATTTTTATTTTTATTTACAATGCTGAAACTAGGGCTTTTATTTTCATTGTCAAAGTTAATCTTTTCATGTACTCTTACAACAAATTTGTAAGTATGTAAAGAGCGACACCATAGGCTGCCGCGCCTTAGCCGCGGCACCTTGGTCTGCCGCGCCTTAGCCGCGGCACCATGTCCTGCCGCGCCTTAGCCGCGGCACCATGTCCTGCCGCGCCGCCATATGTTGCTTGATGACGTGTATATTGTTCTTCTATATCGTCTTGAGTGGTGTTTGAATGTCTGTAAGCATTTTTTGATGTCTACACTTATGACATACACCCGGAGAATCTCCATTCTCGATGGTTGAGATCCACCACCATATCTCATATATCGGTGTCATGCATAATAACCTGTTATAACAAAGTTATCCTTTACTAGTTATAGGTTAAGCACAAATTTAAGAAATTTCTAAGTTAGATCATATCTCCAAGCAAGTGACCATCACAATGCATGATCTAACAAAATAACTTCTAAGGATATATATAACAATTATATAAATAATAACCAAATTATGTGCAACAATTAAATTTATTAACATTACAATATTATTACATAATTTGTATTGGATGTTCAAGGGCAAATTATTATTACTATTCCAGCACTTACATCATACATTTGCATGCATAGATTGCATCGATATAGATACTTGTGAGGACTTCAACAAGATGCGGCAAATAACTTTCATGCACTCGAAGCAAACCACTAGCTTAGCTTCAAAAGACCCAGCAAATGGTTTTACCAGGTCATGGAGAATTCTGCTTCACCCTCCACATCAAATATGTTGTAATGCTTTGGCAAGAGCAATCCTCTTTGATGATCAGGGATGAATATTTTCTGCAGGAAGTCAATAGTCAACGCGTTTGAATTGGGATTCATTGTAGTCAGAGGAATTTGCAGGGGCATAATGGTAGAGATCTGCACTGGTTTTATGACTAAAAAGGTAATGTAGAGCACGGTGTTCAGATAACATATAACCCTTTCATTCGCAAGAAAGTACAGCCCAGAAGTTAAATCTAATTTGTGTTCTACTGAATCACAAGTCAAAACACTAAGTAGGATACGAACAGGATGAGAGACCGCCATCACTGGTTCTCATCAATTTAGAAGTTAAATGCAAGTCTATGAATCGATCACTGAGAACTATTGTCAATATGAATTAGTTCACGTACATTTGCCCCCTCCACATGGTAATTGAATTAAGTCCTGCTAAATGATTAAATATAACCACTTTTAGGCTGAATGTACAAGTGTCCTAAAATGTGATATCCAAATGCCTAACTTTATCGAGATATCACAGGTTAACCCAGAACCTAACCTGTAAAATGCACACTAAATCATTAATTATGAGCAGTGTATACCATAATCTTCTCGCAACAATCATCTCAACGAACTAGTTAGATTTATATTGTACTAGATTTGCAAACAAATCTGTTGCTGATTTAGGCCATAACAAATGGTCTGATAAAGAGAAAAACAAAGATGGAGTTTAGGTCAAGCTGCTGACTGCTCATGAGAACTGTACCGGCCTTAGCAGCATGTACTCTTGGTAAGCTTACTGAAACGCTGAAGGACACCGCTAAGGAAAACAAGGAGGCCTTTTGCAAAATTTACAGGTCTGATTCATAAATCCCCTTCTTCCAGCCTGCCGTGGCTGAGGATCATTTATCCTGTTCGTATCCTAGACGGAATATCATAGACGAAATGTTTCAGTCTAGGATGTAGTATCCTAGACGGAAAATTTTCCGTCTAGGATAATTAATTTTCTACTAGTGCGTGGCGAAGTTAAAGTCACCAACTAGGCATTTACTCCCCCCTGTTCCGTCTAGTATAATTAATTTTCTACTAGTGCGTGGCGAAGTTAAAGTCACCAACTAGGCATTTACTCCCCCCTGTTAAGTAGTCTATCTTAATCACTTGAAAGTTCCTGGGTTTAATAATCTGATGCAAATATGTTATATTAATGTGATTATCAAAGACAAATATTTATTTTCTTGGTCTCTGCTTTCTCTTTGGTATGTCTGCGTGCTGAAGGACATACAATCCTACAGCCACGTCTTCCAATTGGGCGGGTCAGATGTTTGGCAACCGATGATAGTACAATAACCGTTGATTGGCACTGACATGGTATATGGAGTTGGGCCGGCATTAGGCCCATATTACACCGTGCATGGTTTTTTGGTTTAGCCCATAATGTAGCGTCAGGCTTAACTTACAAAATCCAAGATGACGAACTTGTACTTCTTTGGAAAAATTAAAAAAAAAAAATTATTCTGATCTCATGACATTGTAAAACAAAGGAACACTGCTTACGTTCAACAGCATGAAATCAAAATCCAGTTCACACAGACCAACCATCAAATATTAATCAATAGAGTAGCATAATGTCTGTTATGAAGTTCTTTAGTTGTATTTTTCTTTATGGAGAAACCAAATTTTTCTTTAAAGTTGAATCTTGATGTACTATTCATAGACAACTTATAAATTTAGCAAGATCCTATCGGGTATAAGAAACTAATATTTAAACCTATGTATTGTGTATTTTAGTTTGCGTATGGATCAGGATAGAATTTAGGATCTTTTTTTTCTATGTGGACGCATATACAATAATAAAACAATTAATAAATACTGCACTAAAAGTCCTTTATTACTTGTCTACTTTACGAAATACAATAATAACAAAAAAACGAATTATATCATGGCCAGCATGCGACATAAATCACAGTCCTTAATGCCGGCCTCTACATTTATTTGATAGTATCATAGTAAGTTACTTAGATTAATGAAGAGAAGTTTCTATAAGATACTCAAACAATAGGTAAATTTCAGAAAAAAATCTCCTAAAGTTTGAGATATTTTGCATCAATCTCTCCGAAGTCTGAATATTGTCATTTAAGAAAAATTATTTGGACTTGCAGTTTTTTTAAACTGTCATGGTTGATAGTTATCATGTGTTAATTTTTGGACAATTTTACTTTTTCGTAACTTCTATGTCAGCCTTATCCAATAATGATAGCTGAAAAAGTATTTAAAAAAAGATATAATCTTCTTTATTCTATTTGTTGCCACATTTTATGAGAAATTTTAATAGTCTGGAGGTATTTAATTTAATTTTAATTTTAAAACGCTAGAAGAATATGATCTAAGTCATAAAATTCATGAATTTAAAGCAAAAACTCCTAAGTGCAAGGTTTTGTGTAAAATTCATCCAAACGCTCATATATCAATCTTTTATGAAGCCATACCATGCCTTCAACACCATTCCATTATAACATTTTTCGGGGATCATTGATCGTTGTGTTTATCACGTAATTTGTCGATCATATCTATATCTTAATTGCTTGAATAGCCGCTCCTATAATTAAATACTAATTTGATCTTTAAAACTTCTAATGCTTTCCGTCAATTGTATTGATAGATTTTTGGTATTGTGACATAAAAAGTCTTGATTCTTTGACATAATAGAGTTATTCCTATGTTTAATACCTTGATCCCTAGAAATATGAAATTTTCAACTTGTACTGGATAACTACATTGCGGCTGATATTTTACTTTTTTTTTAATATTAACTTATGACAAATTGAGCATGTTGTATTGCTAAAAAAATGAACGAAAATATACACCTTAAGTTGACAAAGAAAATTAGAAGTGATTAATAATCTAATTAGTATTTAATTACATGATCAGTCATCCAAACAATTAAAACATAGATATAAACAAGCAGTTAAAACATAGATACGAAGGTTTGATAAATACGGTGATCAACGAGAATTAACCCAACATCCTTGATGGGATCGTTTTCCGTTAATTATTGGTCCTTTTTGGCCGTTAATTAATTATTGATCCTTTTTTGTAATGTCTGTTTGTTAATTTGTCAAATCTTTAAAGCTGTCGCGGGCCCCACTTTCTACGACGTTGCAACAGATATTTCAAACATAAATACAAAAATGGATTTATTAATGGATAAGGAAAGAAAATTTTCATGGCGCGAAACAAAATATCCTCTATCCTACTGGTTAACAGCCACGTGTCCTCTAATCGAAGTAGCAGCAGTTCTACGAATTGACAAATTTACCCTCACATTTCTTTTACGATTAATAAGGCTTAAAGGTAATTTACTTACGATCATTTCTCCGCTCCCATTTGTGCGTATAAAACTAAAAACGGTTGCTCTTCCATAAAAAAATACTTCAGTTTTCTTCTCGTTCAAGCTTCTCTTCTTTCTTCTTCAAGATCTGGTTAGGGTTAGGGTTTCGCTTCACTATTCTCGTTGCGATTTGCGTTCTCTTTTAAGGAAAGCCCTAGGATCGTTGAGTTTTGATTCGATCGGTCCCGGATCGCGCCGTTAGAGACGATTCAGGTGAATTTACTTCTAATTTCTGATGAAATGTTCTAGATTTTAGTATATTTGAGTGGAATTATTATATGTTCCTCTAAAATGCGGCCAGATTACATACTGTAGATAAATTTGATGTGTTTAACAAATTAAAGTTTCTGCTTTATTATTATTTGAGGCGTAAGGATCATAGTTTTTTAAGATTAAAGATAAAATACTTACTGATACATTTTTTTTCTTGTAGTCAAATTCGGAACAACAATTATTAGATGTTTTATCAAATTTTTGTTAAGATCTATTTGTTAGAATGTACTTTAACGGTCACAATTGAACTATTATCCCAGTTATTTGGATGTATGAATTTCGATGTTAAAGTTGCGGCTCATGTCCAAGAGGTTTTTGTACAGATTATGATGGAATTGAAATTTTGATCAGAAACCATATATTTCATGTCTAGTAAATTTGAGGAACCCATGGTCCGTGGGACCTCTTTCAAGCCTTATATGAGATTTAGTTTCGTATCCAAACACCCAAAAGGGGAAAGCAAGTTTTGGGAGGGAGAGGTGCATATCGACATTTTCCAATTAGAAGGAAAATGTGGCCAAATATATGACCGGTTACTGACCAGATGTCAACCCTCTACAACAATGCAAGAATTCTAACCAGGAAATCACATCAAGTGAAGGCATTAGCTTGCCATATTTTCTACAAGGATATTCAGCATTCAGGTATCGGTCTTCTTAGTCATGCAAGATAAGTTCATGCAACCAAGAAGAGTCCATCTAAAACTCTTATTTGTCATGAAAGAGTCCAAAACGGGAAGACTAGAATCACTAGAGTAACTGTGTTTTACTCTGAGGCATCTGATAAAGCCAAGAAGCCACTCATGGCACGGATTGAGATGAGCTACATATTAGCAATGTAACTTTGCATATACAAACACACAACATTATCAGTTTTTTGAGTCAATGTGTATGAGATAGTTATACATCCTGTAGCTTGATATAGTCATGTTCAAAAATAAAAAAGTTTACCATGTCTCGAAGAAGATCTATTGGATGTTTGTGTTGGGAATTTTAACGCTGAAACCCCTAATGCAACAGAAACGCAGTATAGAAAAATATACCAAGATTTAACGAGGTTCGGCAACTGCCTACGTCCTCGGGAGCCACACAGATAATTTCTTATTAATCAAACAAGAAATTACAATTTAGGAGCAAATCCCAAAACTGGGATTTCTCAAATAAACACTGTAGCTACAGTGTTAATAATTAAAGAGTATGAACCCTTTCAATTCTCACTTGAGAATAAACAACCCACAAATAAAACCCTTCTTTAATTCTCTATTTATCTCTCTTTTTAATCCCCCTCAAACACTGTTGAAGCTGGGGATAAATCAAAAAATCGCAGCAGCGATTTAGGGCAGCCGCCAGAGAGAAAAATCGGAGGAGGGGAAGAAATCAGCAGCGAAACCCTAGGGCCAAAGGGGGGTTTATAGGCAGAGATGATGATCTGGCGACAGCCTGTCGCCAGCGACCCACGAACGCAAAGGTGGGAGCGCTCGAACGCAAAGGTCGCCATCGCCAAACGCAGAGGTCGGGAGGAGTTCGAACGCAGAGCAAAAGTGGGGGGTTCGAACGCAGAGCTCGAAGGGGGGTTCGAACGCAGACTCCAGCTTCGCCTGCGACATCCTGGAGCTCGTCGGAGCTCCTCCGCCGTCGGAGGTGAGTTTGGTCTACACCCAAACTAACAATCTCCCACTTGGAGACCAAACCGACGTCAACAGGCTATCTCATCAAGCTCCTCTCCTGTGTGGCTCCGCCCTCATCATCTATGCATGAAGGCCAACTGAAGTTGCGCACAACTCCATTTTCTGAACTGTCACCGTCTTTGTTAACATGTCTGCTGGATTCTTACTTCCTGGAATCTTTTCCAGTTTCAACACGTCATCTTCCAACAGGGATCTGATGAAGTGATACCGAAGCGCAATATGCTTCGTTCTAGAATGAAATGCTGAATTTTTCGCCAAGTGTATCGCACTCTGGCTATCACTGTGCAAAACATTCTTCTCCTGTTTGAATCCCAGCTCTGTCAACAAACCCTGAAGCCATATCATCTCTTTACTGGCTTCAGTCACTGCAACATACTCAGCTTCTGTAGTGGATAGGGTAACGATCTTCTGTACCTGTGACATCCAACTAACAGCTGTAGTTCCAACGGTGAATACATAGCCGGTGGTGCTTCTTCGGTGATCAACTTCACCTCCAAAGTCTGCATCTACGTACCCTTGCACTTCTACCTCTCCCTTACCAAAGTGCAAACACTTCTGTGTGGTGCCTCGTAGATATCTCAGAATCCACTTGACCGCTTCCCAATGAGCTTTTCCTGGATTCGACATAAACCGGCTGACCACTCCCACTGCATGGCCAATGTCTGGTCTCGTACAGACCATAGCGTACATCAAGCTTCCGATAGCTGAGGCGTAAGGTACCTGAGCCATACTCTCTTTCTCTTCTTCTGACTGAGGAGACTGATCCTTCGATAAACGAAAATGGTTGGTCAAGGGTGTGCTCACAGGCTTGGCGTCGCCCATGTTGAATCTCTGCAAAACACGGTTGATGTACTCCGTCTGAGATAACTGCAAGAGACCTCTCTTCTTATCTCTCGTGATTTGCATTCCAAGGATCTTCTTCGCTGGACCCAAGTCCTTCATGTCAAACTCCTTTGACAGCTGCTGCTTCAAACTCTTGATATCTTTCATATCGACTCCTACAACCAACATATCATCAACATACAGCAGTAGGATGATATAGCTGGACTGATATCTTTTGAAGTAGCAACAGTGGTCGGCGTTGCACTTCTGGAAACCTTCCTTGTGCATAAAGCCGTCAAACTTTCTGTACCACTGCCTTGGGGCTTGTTTCAGGCCATACAAGCTCTTCTTGAGTCTGCACACCAGGTTCTTCTTCTTTTCTTCTGAGAAACCTTCTGGCTGGTGCATGTATATCTCCTCTTCTAGATCTCCGTAAAGAAACGCCGTCTTCACGTCTAACTGCTCGAGATGAAGATCTTCAATTGCTACAATACTCATCACAGTCCTGATAGTATTTAGCTTCACCACGGGAGCGAAAATATCGGTGTAGTCAATTCCTTCCTTCTGCTGGAAACCTTTGACAACTAGCCGGGCTTTATATCTTCTGGAACCATCCTGCTCCTCTTTCACCCGGTACACCCATTTGTTGTGGAGTGCCTTCTTACCCGTAAGCAACTCAGCTAGTTCCCACGTCTGGTTTGAGATGAGAGATTTCATCTCATCTTTCATGGCAAGCTCCCACTTGCTCGCATCTCCACACTGACAAGATTCATCAAAGCTTTCAGGCTCCCCACCATCTGTCAACAACAGATAGTTCATGTATCTCCTGTTGGGTACAGGAGGACGAGAAGATATTCTTAATATCGGAGCTGGTACGTCGGGTTCCTGCGCACCATCTTATCCAACAGGCTCTTCTGGCTGAGGACCCTCTGCATTGGGTTCTTCCGAGAGGTTACTCGGGACATCATCTGCATCTACAAATATTGACTCGCTCTCTGAGTCATCAGTCTTGTGCATGTCCTTGTACATCACCTTCTCGTTGAATATCACATCTCTGCTCCTGATCACCTTCTTGTTTTCGTTGTCCCAAATGCGGTAGCCGAACTCATCTTCACCATAGCCGATGAAAGTGCATTTCTTTGACTTGGGATCAAGCTTATTCATGCATTGATCACTAATATGCACGTAAGCTACACAACCGAAAACTTTAAGATGTGAGAGTTTTACCTCCTTTCCGCACCATACCTCCTCTGGTATTCTGTGCTCCAATGGAACCGATGGACCTCAGTTGATTAAGTAAGCTGCTGTGTTGACCGCTTCTGCCCAGAACTGCTTCGGTAGGCCTGATTGTACTCGAATGCTTCTGGCTCTCTCCGTCAACGTTCGGTTCATTCGCTCAGCTACACCATTTTACTGAGGCGTGCCTGGCACGGTTCTCTCCATTCTGATCCCGTGCTCATAGCAAAACTTCTTGAATCCGGTGTCTTCATACTCACCATCATTGTCGGTCCTGAGCTTCTTTATTCTCAGACCGGTCTCATTTTCGACCATAGCTTTCCATCTCCTGAAAGCCTTAAATACTTCTGACTTATGCTTCAAAAAGTAGACCCACACTTTTCGAGAGTGATCATCGATAAAAGTCACGAAGTAGTGTTTTCCACCAATGGACGCGGTGGTTGTTGGTCCCCACACATCTGAGTGAACGAGCTCTAGCTTCTGCTTCCTGGGGGTTCTGCCACTTGTCTGAAAGCTGACTCTCTTCTGCTTTCCAAGTATACATTCTTCACACATATCCATCTCCACTGACTGCAGTCCTGGGAGTTTTCCCTTTGTGTGCATAATCTTCATCCCCTTTTCACTCATATGACCGAGTCTCTGGTGCCACAGCTTTGAAGTCTCATTGCCTGCTGCAACTGAGATCGAACAACGTGCACCTGCTGTCATATATAGGGTACCAGTCTTCCTGCCTCGGGCAATCGTCATTGCGCCCTTTGAGATCTTCCAATCATCTCCATGGAAGGTTGTGGTGTATCCTTCGCCAGCCAACTGGCCTACGGATATTAAATTCTTTCTCAGGTCGGGAATATGCCTGACATCCTTCAGCTCCCATACTGACCCGTTCAACTTAATTTTCACCACGCCTTTGCCCACAATAGCACATGGTTGATCATCACCAAGATATACGTATCCAAGATTTCCGGGGGTATACTTCTCGAAGAATTCTTTCTGAGAGGTAGCATGGAACGACGCTCCTGAATCTAACACCCAAGATTCCTCCTTGCTCTCCAAAGAGCATATCAATGCGTCGTCTCCTCCTGAAGTGGAGGTGACATTCACCTCTGCCTTCGCCTCCTTCTCCTTCTGTGCACTCTTGCACTGATTCTTGTAATGCCCGGTCTTTCCACAATTCCAACACTCGATAGCCTTCGAGCTGTTGCTTGGATTCCTTGATTTGGACCTCCTGTCCTTTGATCTACCTCTGTAGTTTGATTTTCCTCGTCCGTTTCCTCTGGTTGAATTTCTACCTCTTGACTCTGTATGCAATACTGAAGAGGTTGTAGCTTCACCAGTCTCTCGCCGTCGGATCTCCTCACTGAGAACCAAATCACGAACGTCGTCGAACTTCAACTTATTGTTTCCCGATGAGCTACTCACAGCTGTGACTGTAGCGTTCCAACTCTCTGGTAGGGAAGACAACAATATCAACGCCCGAACTTCTTCATCAAACTCAATCTCAACTGAACTCAATTGGGTTGTAACCGTATTAAGTTCATTGAGGTGTTGTGCTACTGACGCGCCTTCCGCCATTTTCAGATTGAATAACCGCCGCATTAAATGAACTTTATTTGCGGCTGATGGCTTCTCATACATATTTGAGAGAGCTGCCATAAGACCCGTCGTGGTCTTCTCCTTCGCTATGTTGAACGCAACATTGCGAGTCAACGTCAATCTGATAACTCCGAGGGCTTGTCTATCTAGAAGGTTCCACTCATCTGCCTTCATAGAATCTGACTTCTTCCCCGATAGTGGTTGATACAGATTTTTCTGATACAGATAATCCTCTATCTGCATTTTCCAGAATCCGAAATCTGTTCCATCAAATTTCTCAAGTCTCATTTTTGCCTCATCTGTGGCCATGGCTCCCATTTGAATCTGACTTGTTCTAGATCGTTTCACGCTCTGATACCAGTTGTTGGGAATTTTAACGCTGAAACCCCTAATGCAACAGAAACGCAGTATAGAAAAATACACCAAGATTTAACGAGGTTCGGCAACTGCCTACGTCCTCGGGAGCCACACAGATAATTTCTTATTAATCAAACAAGAAATTACAATTTAGGAGCAAATCCCAAAACTGGGATTTCTCAAATAAACACTGTAGCTACAGTGTTAATAATTAAAGAGTATGAACCCTTTCAATTCTCACTTGAGAATAAACAACCCACAAATAAAACCCTTCTTTAATTCTCTATTTATCTCTCTTTTTAATCCCCCTCAAACACTGTTGAAGCTGGGAATAAATCAAAAAATCGCAGCAGCGATTTAGGGCAGCCGCCAGAGAGAAAAATCGGAGGAGGGGAAGAAAATCGGCAGCAAAACCCTAGGCGAGAGAGGGGGGTTTTATAGCCGAATGTGGAGAGCTGGCGACAGCCTGTCGCCAGCGTTCGCTTCGACGCCAAGTTCGAGCCGAACGCAGAGGTCGAACAAAGACGCCGAAGTCGAAACGAACGCACAGTTGAAGATGGGGTTCGAACGCAGAGCTCGGGGGTGGGTTCGAACGCCGAGCTCAATCTCGCCGCCTGTCGCTTGGACAACCGGAGCTCGCCTGCGTCATCTCCGCCATTCTCGAGCTCGTCGGAGCTCGTCGGAGCTCCTCCGCCGTCAGAGGTTTGTTTCCACCCCCAATTCTAACAATCTCCCACTTGGAGACCAAACCGACGTCAACAGGCTATCTCATCAAGCTCCTCTCCTGTGTGGCTCCGCCCTCATCATCTTATGCATGAAGGCCAACTGAAGTTGCGCACAACTCCAGTTTCTGAACTGTCACCGTCTTTGTTAACATGTCTGCTGGATTCTTACTTCCTGGAATCTTTTCCAGTTTCAACACGTCTCGAGCTCGTCGGAGCTCGTCGGAGCTCCTCCGCCGTCAGAGGTTTGTTTCCACCCCCAATTCTAACAGTTTGAAGTCTAGCTTAAATTCCTTAGGGTTGCATTTGGGAAATGAGATTTGAATTTGAGGTCTAGATTTGAAATCAAGGAATTTGAAATCTATAGATTCTACAAATCACTTGTTTGGATGAGTTTGTTAAGTCAGAGGAATGCAAATATATTGTGTTCTATGCGTTTGTTATACATTATTTCATAATCTCCCTACATATCCAGTGTTAGACTGTTTTCCTCTGGTTTTAAAATAACTCTTTCTAATAAAAGATACCTGTTTGACAGATTGAAACCTAATACACCAGGTATGAATTTATATATGAAATAAAGGGTATTTGCATTTAAATACCTCAAAGTGTACTCGATTATAACTTTGATATTCATATGTATTTGTGCAAATGAAAACTTTGGGGTGTCAACATTAAAAACTAGGTAAACTTTGGGGTGTTTTTTGGCACATAACTATTTTATTTATTTAAGTTTTATTTGCACTTAACTACCAAAGTTTAACTTGTGTTTATATGCTTCTGTTCTCAAATCTTAAATCGAAAACAAGCCCATGCGTTTATCATTTGGTTTGAATAAAACCAACATTTTGATATCATTTTCGAGAGTACTCTTCATCAAATCATATGCTTCAAAGTGAAGTGAATTCACACGAAAAAGAAAATTCTAATGTGAATATTCTATCTCCCCTTCTTACTCTCGACAACCCCAGCGACGAGGAGAGGTATA